AATCTTTTAAATTCTTGCAATATGTTAGTTTCTTTCATTTTTCTTCCTTTACAATGCTTTTGAATTTTGATAGATTGAATTTTAGAAGGAAAGGTTGAAAGAGAAATGAAAAGATAACATAATCATTTTTTTATTTGTTTATTTTGGTTTGGTTTGGTTCCTTTCTGTAAAGGAATAAAAAAAAACACACACACACTTAAAGGTCCTGTACCAAATATTGTTTCATGTTGAAGCAGGTGGAAGGAGTAAATAAAATAATTTTTTTATTTAAAAGGACTAAAATTCCCATTAAGTATCAACTTTCCAGATTTGTTTCATTTAATTGTGGTTGAATTTTATCGAAATGGGTTATGCAAGAAGTAATATTTATTTAATGTGATCACACATCATAAAGTTCAAAGAACAAAATAGGAGTTACATAGAAACAACTCATTTTTATTGATTAATATGAAAAAGATGATGATACAATAGAGAAAAAACATATGTATTCATAAGAATGTAATACAACTTAACTAATATCAATTACTTAACTAATCAACTAACTAAACTCAACTACCACAACTAAGTACAGAATTACTACTACTAGAATTTCTCTTATTAGATGCGACTTTTCCTGCGAATTTTTTTATAAAATTTGCAAGAAATGTTGTTCCTACAAGTTTTTATGCGAAATTTAATCTGCAAGTAATACCTTCGTGGATAATATATTTTTGTGAATTTTAAAATTCGTAGAAAATTTTCCTGCGAAATTTCTTGCGATAAAATTTTGCAGGAAAGTTTCCTGTAAAAAAAATTTGCAAGAAAATTTGCAGGAAAGTTTCCTGCGAATTTTTTCGCAAGAAATTCTGCAAGAATATTTTTTACGAAAAAAATTAAAGAAATTACTATAAATTCTATCAATAATTCTTCAACTTTCAAATGCTCACAATGAATTCATCCGAAATATTTGTTTCCATGCCTTCAACATGTGATACATAATCTTTTAAATTCTAAGATTGTAGATTATAAGCCTAACACTCAACCATGCAAATTAACTTGTAAGGTAAGTGTTGTCCTAACTTATATACTCTTTAATTGTTTTATTTTCAATCGATGTGGGACTTGAAGTTTTTTTTAAATATTAAACTTATAAATTTAAATATATTTTTTTTATTTTTCCTGCGGATTAAAATTTGCAGGAAAATCCGCAGGAAAAGTTACCAGCAAAATTTTTCTACCATTTAGTAAACATTACTTGCGAATTTATTTTTGTAAGAAAATCTGCAAGAAATAAAATAAAATTCTTACAATATTTTCTACGAATTTTTACCATGAAAAAAATTTTCTATGATTATTAAAATTGTAGCAAAATTTGTAAGAAATATCTGTAAATTATTTTTCGCAAATAAATTCGCAAAATAATTCTGCGTATATTTTTTTACAGGAAAATTTGCAAAAAAATTTCTGCGAATATTTTTTTTTACAGGAAAATGACACTTTTCTAGTAATATACAACAACTTTTTTCAAGTTGACACTACAATAAATATTATATAAAGTGATAGATAAAAAGTGTCATTATAGATGTAATATGTATAAGTATAAATTTATTTGACATATAACTATAACAACTTTAATGTTAATTTTGAATAAGATTTAATAACATATATTGTGTATCATTATAGTTTATACACACACTTTTTAACATATACTAACATATATTATATATAGTATAGGTAAAAGTAATTTTTAATGACATGTATTGCATAACTATAGAGTGGGTGTCACTATATGATAATTTTTTCTTTTTGCAGTGTGGTGGTGGTGGGATTGAGGCAAAAGTGACTTATTGAAAGAATACTTGTATCTTTGTTTAAAAATAGTGGAACTCAATCTGGTTGGATTGAGAAATGGACGTAGTCTCAGTGGTTGTGACAAACTAGTATAAAAACACCTAGTGTTCCATCTGACTGATTGCTCTTCGCACTTCATCTGACTAGCATTACTACTTCATTATGAAAAACGTGAGTTTTTGATACACGGTATTTAACCCCTCTTCTAGTGTTTATCTTTTCTCTATAGAAATAATACATAATACATAAAACAAAAATACATAAAACCTTATAAATTAACTCATACTTCTCTAACAAAATATATGCGGAGAAAAGATAGAAATTAGAAGGGGGTTGAATAGTGTATATCAAAACTTGCACATTTTCAAGTTCATGAAAGAGTATTTGCAACAGATAAAAGGTCAGTAAGAGTAATCAATAAAATAGTATTTTTATACTAATTCACCTCAACCATCGAGACTAGGTCCAATTCTCAATCCAACTAGATTGACTTCCACTAGCTTTTAGCAAAGTTACAAGTATTCTTTTATCAAGCCACTTCTAGCTCAAACAAGTGTTCTTTGAATGGCCTCTTCAAGCCACTATCCAAGTATTCTTTTACAAACAAGCCTCTCCAGACTCAAACCTAATATTTTTTTCAGACAAGCCTCTCTAGGCTCAATCCAAAGTATTCTTTTATAGTCAAATCTCTCTAGGCTCTACCTTGTATCCATGGTTATGAAAGTATTACAATGTTCCAATTTTCATCACTTTTAGACGTGATCACAACAAATTATTTCAATATAAAAGACTCTTGAAAAATATTTTCTAAAAAAGTACAAATCATTTTTCTATATTTATTACACTTCTATTCTCCATATGTGCTTCTTTGTCTTCTTTTGAGTTTTTTATATAGTAGCTTAGAAATAGATGACCATTGTAGCTTCTTGAGTTTGATTCATAGAATTGTTTTGTCTTACTCCTTCGTTTGATCTTTAGTGAGAGGAAGTATTTATTGTTCCATTAAATGATTTAATTAATGTCTTTCACCTAATTAAACGTCCTCCTTATCTTTGATAGATCAAGCTACTTATCATAGTAAAGTAACAAAGTGGGAACAACAGGAAGCAAAGTCAGCATGCAAGTGAGAATGTAATCCTTTTTCAGCATCTTTTCCATGAAATTTGGGATCTTTGTCCTTTGTTTAGCTATTTTTCATGCTTTTATGCACTTTTAATAGAATGTGAGTTCTATAGACACCCAATTTCGTCCGGGGGCACAAAACAACAAGATAGGACATCAGAGGGCCCAAAAACCCAAACTAACTTTTTTTTAGTGGCCCGGAATGGGCCGTTCCAAACCAAACAAATGGCCTAAAATCTGTACCCCGGAATGGGCCGTTCTGAAATCAGAACGGGCCGTTCTGGTTCCCCGAAATGGGCCGTTCTAATTT